GCCTTTGTGCTGATTTTTACCCCTTTGTGTAAATGTTGAAGAACTTTATCTGAAAAAATCTCTTTTCTTCCATTTCAATTATTTGTGGTACAACCAACAATATATATAACCATTCATATGAGATTCTGTGTCAGCATTAACGCAGAGAAATTATGAATATCCACATAGCACAATGATTACAAAATATGAATATCTAAATTAAAAAAATGTCGCAATTATCTTAAAATGAACATCTCTAGCCTATTGAATTGTGCTTCATCATCTCCAAATCCATGTTTGATGAATTATCCATAGCATGCTAGATTAAGAGGGATACATTTAAATGCAGAAATACCAGATATAAATAAATCATATATGAATCCGATTTGCTTTATCGCTTATTTTATCTTTCTTTAATTTGTTTTTCTATTTTTCATATTTATCATAAATAAGATAATATTTTAATTAAGAAAGATTTGTATTCCACATGTAACAAAGGTTTGTAGCTGCTTAGTTAATAGAACAGTTACAGTGCGTGCTTTAATATGCAAGGATGGAATGTGTTATAGTAGGTGTACCAAAGTATAATTATGCCATATTTCTCATTGTTTAAGGTCACATTTTTTACCATGCCGCTCTCATGTTTTTGGACATTGCATGATAGCTGAAGGTATCTCAGATTATTTAATCTGTTTATAAAGACTATGCTTTAGGAGAAAACAGGTCTGTTTTCATGGCCACATTTCTTAGGCTGGGCTGCAGTGCATGTATTTCAGAAGTTTAAAAAAATCTTATTTCAATTCACTGTTGAAGACCACAAAACATAATCTGACTTTAATCCACACAACTGCAAAAAAGTAAAGACCACATTCAACAAAGAGAGGCCTATAAAAACAAATGATGATTGTTGGCTGCTGTTAGGAATCCAGTTTGTGTGGGTTGTGCTTTTGTTTGTGTTCCCTCCACCACCAGGCGGCGTCTGGTTCTCATTGGCCTCCTCACACACCTGTACCTCTGTTACGGTCACTGACCTCTAGGAGCTCTCTTCATGAGAGAGCTCTCTGGCTCTTTTCGAAAACCTAGGACGTGTCCTCCAAGGACGCGGTCTACCTAGACTGGATCCTTCGAAGTCCTTGAAAATAAGGAGACCGGAAGAGTTTAGGCTGTGAATTCGACCAGGTCTACCCTTCGGCGGGTTTTACCGCCGTATGCTCTTAGCAACCGTAAACGTTGACACACAAAGCAGGAAAAGAATGAATACAGAAGTTTTCAAAACTGTTTATTTATTTCTTTTTTATTGTGAAGTGAACAAAGACTACACTCACAAGAATCCAGAATGGAATAAATGTTCCAACCACCGGGAGCAGGAACAAATAAAATAAAATGTATTGATAGAAACCTTAGTCAGTTAAATAACCTTCTGCTGTCATTTTGCACATCTCTGATGTTGCTGCTATTTTCAAATATCCATTACTGTAAAAATGTCCATAGCTGCATAATGGTTATTTATTCCCCAGTTTTATATTGTTAAAACACCTTACAGTATTGTATTGTTTATATTTTAACTCTTCCCTATTATGTTATTCTTACACATTTTTCTAAGGTCCACATTTGTGTGACCATTTTCAATAATCTTTCTGCTGCTGTAAATCTGCCCATTGTGGGACAATAAAGGGATTTTCTATTCTATAAAATGGGTAGAAAGATATAAGTAAATCTAAACAATGTATTTATAAAAAATATATCTGCAAAATCTCTAATATTCAACAACAAAAAATACGTAGTTAAGCATATTGTGCAAAAAAGCAATAAAAAGATAAAAATCCTTTCAGATTTATAGTCCCCACACTACAGATCTATTAGAATCTGTCCTTTAATTACAGCCAAACCCATTTACACAGTAACAGATTAAAACCTTTAGATAAACCAAACACTACCGCCACATATCTGACTCAATAACCATTAAAGCAACTATTTTTCATTATTCTCAGTCGGAACTATTAAATGACTTGTATTATATTAGCTGAACTTCCAATTTTCACCACTGTTCGGCGCCAAGTAACCTTTACTCTGATCACAGCTTGCTTGGTCTCGCAATGAATCCTGGGATATCCAAGAATACCGAGGATACATCAGACCCGTCCTTCAAATCGGGCAAAAAGAAGGATGCATTTTAAGGCCGCATAACGAGGACTCTTGGAATCCGACCAGACCTCGGCGCCGCGCTATGACGTAATCGGCCTTCGAATCCGGTCTTCTAAGGATGCTTCCTAGGTTTTCGAACAGAGCCTCTGTTTCTGTTTCAAGTCTCCCTGGCTGTTACAGGTGCAATGTGTTGAAGCTCGTCAGCCACCTCATAAAGAACTTCAACCCTGAGATGTCAGGCCCCCTTCTCTTATTCACTGGGGTCTTGATCTGAAGTGATATTGTTCATGAGCTGAATGTCTCTGTGTGTGTTCATGTTGAACAATTGACTGACTCAAGTTTTGTTTTTCTGTTCACAGTGGAAGCTGGTAGGGGTTCTCTGCCATTTTTGTTGAACTGTTTTCTCCTTGTTTTGTGGTTAGCCAGGGAGTCCAGGTATCGTATGTTCTTTTCATTTTCTATGTTAGAAAGTGTTTTGTTTTATAAGTAAGGGTTTTTTTTGTTGTTTTGGCCTTGGAGACCCTGAGGCTTTAAGCTTCCCTGTTTTGTTGTTTGTTTTTTTTGTGACCCCTGCAAATTGTAAAAAAATATTTTCCTGCTGACATCTTTTAGTTTACTGACTTTTGTGTTACACCCAGTGCCAGAATTTACCCTTTAGTGGTCTTAAGGGTGGGGGTTGTAACAACCTCATTACCGGAGGACCCTTAAGCTGCTGACTACCACTACCTTGACGCCAGAGTGTTTGCCAGTTTTGGGTACTCTAGCAAAGCTGAGTTTTACTGAGTCAAACTGAGTTTTTGTCAGCCTGAGTTTAACCTTGTTGTTTTGTCTTTGCCTCTCGGCAGGAAGTCATCCTGCAATCTGGATGTTTTGGACCTTCTCTCCCCTGAAAGGATTCTCTGAGCACCAAACTGAGCTGAGGATTCGAGCTTGTGGTTTGGATCAACTTTTCCCCCCAAGGATTATTTGGGCATCTCTCTGAGCAGGGGATTCATCTTCACAAGTACCGTTCAAGTACCGCAGGAAAATTAAGTGGCAGTCAGCTCCTCCGTTCCTCAAGGAAAAACCGCAATCTGGGTAAACCCTGTCCCCCTCACTGGAACAACCCACACCGACTGGATTCAACAAGAGACACCTTTTTCTGGAAATGTGAGTCCACAGCCTTAATTCCCTTCTTCAAATCTAAGACACAAATTTCCCACTGAGCCTGAACTAACCTCAGAATCTCCCCCTTCATTTTTCAGTTCCGGTTAGACAGTGTTCTGAGCAGCACTGGACTCTTATCACCAACTCTGAATGAAACCTGTTGAACTTTTCCCTGGTTTCTCTTTTTGGTCTTCTGCATGTGGGTCAGAGCCTTAGATAAAATCATGACAGCTGCAAAAAGCCAACTAGACAAAGCTTGTCTAGATGTTTAAAAGCTTAAGAGCTTTTGTTGATTGCTTTTTACTTTTATCTTATGCAGGCCAGTTAATTATACATCAGCCTGAACACAAATGTATCCAATCATATCAACAGTCATTTGTCAATCACATTTTTTTCGGTCATAGCATGTTGATTCATATGTTGCAGCTAATATCCTCAACAGTTAAAATAAGAAATAAGAATCATTTCCTTTTCCCATTGAGTTCCATCCCAGTGTTCACGGGGATGGACGTCTGTGTCTTCGGCAGGCGTAGAGCTAACAGAACTGGCAGCGTTGCGAGGCAAGGGCTCAAACATGTACGGCTGGAAGCCTTCTACACCAAACCAAGCTTCTGGCGTCCTCTTCCACAACATCTTCGTCCCCGCTTTCCTCCTCTAAATAAAAAATGGATGACGGAGGAGACTCATCCACAACCTCCGACACAAAACTCTCATGTTTCTGCTGTCCATAGTGTCGTTGCTAAGTGCTACTCTTTCCCATTGGGAACCTACTAGCACTAAGTTGCTAACTGGTTAGCAAAATGCTTTCGAGACAATGGCCACAATTAAACATGCTTGCAAACCCTCCGCCACAACAATCCCGCCCCCCTTGATAATCAACCAATCACATTCACTTTATAAACTAAAGTTGTAAAGTTGGGCACCACAAAGGAGAATTTGGAACTGTAACCATTGGAACAGTTGCTTCCCTATGACTTTAAGCTGTGTAAGAATATAGAAGGCAGAAATGGCAAAAATCTACTCTGCTTGTAAAAAGTAAGTCCTCAAATGCAGCCCTTATTGTAAATAACTCAATGTATTTTCTCTAAAAAAATAAAAAAAACGCTTCCTGCAATGGCTGTGATTACTATTTCACTCTCAAAGACTCTCTGCTTTACCAGAATGAAAGGGATACACATGAATGTTCCATTTCACAGTAGCATTACAGCTTTCTTCAGTTTTTTTTTTTTTTTTTTTTTGCACACATTAATCAGGTCATTTACTTCAGCTGAGCGAAAAGCCCATTGCAAAAGGTTATAGGACCTCATTGCCAATTCTTGGACTGAGGGACAAACTGCCACTCTATGATTGTCATTTACAGTCTTGTGACAAATCTTGGGTTGTAACGTTCTATGGACCAGAAGCCAGCCGAGTGTTGATGGCTGCTGGTCCATTGTGGTTCACACATTGTGTGTCAACCTTCCTGTGTTTGAGCTCTGCAGGAGGTTTTCGTTCCACTGGTGGAAACTTCTACAGTGCAATTTAGGCCACCATCACCACAGAAATGGAGGTTAAACGATAAGTGTTATCGAATGCTTTTCAAACCTGGTGCTCTAAGAGATATAAATACATAGAGTTTTTATTACTTTATTTGTGTTTACAGAAGGGTTTAGTAACAACTGAACATTTAGAAAACAAATCTGATACAAAAAGCTGCACAATAATTATTTCTGTAATATTTTTCAGCATTTCTATATGTTATAGTTTCATGCATGATGGAGGCTGTTCCTTCCAATGGGATCAGACATGAAAGGCATGCTTTATTCTTTTTTGCTTCTCACTCTGGAATACACACAAATGCTCACAGCGTTGTCCTCTTGCTGCTGTTCTTCAACTCTCCTCTTTAGATCCAGAGCAGCATAATGGAGACTTTCTGTCTCGTTTTCCTGTCATTGGCAAAACATATTTGAACTTAGATTGATTCAAGTTTTAAACATCAGGATGAAAACAAAATCCCCTATCAACAAAACTGCTAGTCTGGATATTCTGGGACATATATGGATTTCATGAAATTCTTACCGCACTGACAGTGACGTCAAGGGCTCCAGAAGACTGTGGTTTACCAGTCCCTATAAACCACAATGTGTAAATAAACAGGTTAGACTGTAAGATGCATATATAGATTAAATCTAGATTTGAAATGGAAGCCTTACCTTTGCAGGACAAGCATAGCTTGGCCTTTAGTTTATGTCTCAGGAAAGACAAAGCAAGGAGCCCAATAATGGAGAAAGTGAGGGCCACACTCAGGAAATACACCAGGAGAGAATGCACTGAGGTGAAGGTAAACATGTAAAAAAGCAAAACATAAACAAACCCCTCTATATATGTATACTTGTATTATATGACCCTTGACTAATAAAGCATCAGTGTAATTCATTTTAATTGTGTTGAACTGGTTGGACATTTGCAAAGATTACATACCTAAAATCTCCACATTTGTTCCTTCTCCAAATACAACCATCCCACATGAGGCCAGAGCACAGTAGTAGGTCCCAGCATCCGAGGACATCACATAATTTAACTCAAGGTTTGAAGTGCAATTAACACCATGAAGGGGTCCATTTTTAAGACCTATACAGCTTTTTGCACTGGGATACATGAGTGAGGGTTGGGAGGCAGTATGTCTCAACCAGTAAAGGCTCTGTTCTCCTTTGCATGGTTCAGCAGACAGGCTACAGCTCAGATTTAGTGAATCTCCGATTTGTAGAGGAGTCAACGTAGACTGTTGAATAGGCAACTGGGAGTTTGATGAAACTGCTTTGACACGAAGGAAGATTCCTTGTCCAAATTCAATGGCATTGAATTCTAAAACAACACAGTAATACATCCCAGAATCCGACGGCTGAAGGTCTTTGATTGTTAAATCATTGAGTCCTTCTTTTGGCCCTGAAACAACTTGAAATCTATCTTTATATGCTGAGGAGATTATGGCTTCTTTGCTGTTCTTCAAACGTTTTGATATCATACAAGGTTTACCTCCAAGACTTTGCTTGTACCAAAGAAAGGAAGTTACAGCCTCATGCTGACAGGAGCAGCGTAAAGTCAGAGTCTGTCCAACTTTAGCTGTCTTAACGCCAGTTTCCTCAATAATATCTGAGGTTTTGACATCATTAAACACTTCGCCTGTAAAGAAATCAATAAAAAGTTAGATTTTTCTCTGGTAAAATGCCTTTAGCGCCATTCAGAATAAAACCGGAACATAAAGAAACATTAATCATCATTTGATCAATACTCACAGATTTTGCAAAGAAGCAAGAAGAAAATAAAAAGTGGCTCCATCCCTTACGTAAATCAGACCGACATTCTGTATTCTGAGGTTAGAGATTCACCAAGCTCTTATAGAAGATACATGGCTGCTTTTGATTGGCTAAGATCAATGGACGTTTTTTTCCAATAGGCTTTTGATTTGTTTAGGTTTTCATGCACCAAGCTTTAGTAGAAGATACATGGCCGCTTATGATTGGCTAAGATCAATGGAAGCTTTTTACATTAGACATTTGATTTGCTTAGGTTAAAATGTTGAATCTGCTACGGTTACGCAAACCTACCAAAAGAGGGGAACAACTGGGTCAGTTTTCTCAGGCCTACTGTAGGAGGGGGGTGGGGGCAAATACTATTGTGACCCCGGGTAAAAATTGCCCTTAATCCCGCCTTTGCCACTCCATTGGTTAGAGTGACAGTCAGTCACACAGTGCATTCAGCCAGTCACTGCATCAGGAGTGGTTATTCATTATATTGTGAGGGAGAGAGCTGGATACAAAGGAGCTACAGGTCTGTGCTTCCAAACAATTTGTTAATCTCTTTGTTTATCATGTACTTTTAAAAACTCAAAATATAAAATATCATGTAAATCTGAATAACAAGTGAGTTTGGAGCCATACAGTTCTCATGCACTGAACTATATATGGAATTGGTGAGTAGTGAACACAATGTTGTTTGTTTGTTTAGCATGTTGGTGATAGCCAATGCTAATTACATAAATTCAATTTATGTGTTTTAGATGATGAAATAAATGCTGATATTTGTATTTTATCAAAAAGACTAGATGGTGGATATCATTTTATATTTTATTTATTTCTGTAACTGAAACAAGTGTAGTTAACTAGCAGACTCGTAATTTACTGGTCCTGTTTATTTCAATACAGGCCAGGTGACCCTTTTGGGGTTAAAGGATGGTGAGCTGAAGACTAGCTGTGCCAGGAGACCCTGAAATCCACTCCATGCTGGTCCAGTCGGAGTTTGATGGTCAAAAGAATTTCCTCCCCCATCTCATCATACTGACACACAATCTATGATTCATCTATTCTCCATTGGAAACAATTTGCGCTTGAATATTTTTACCTTAAATAACTGGACAATCAAATCATGGACTTTTTAAATGTGTGTCAGTCAGACATTTTGCTGACTAGTGGGGTAATTAAGGATTTCCATGCACATTCATATTGAAGATCTACAGCAGTACTATATATATATATATATATATATATATATATATATATATATATATATATATATATATATATATATATTCATTGTATTTATATTTTTTGATTCTGTGTATAGTTGGTTTTTATTTTACTTTTTTTTTTTCTCTTCCATAAAATATACAGTATTGGAAGCACATATTCCGTTGTACTGTTTTTTTATTGATTACTGACGACAGCTCCAGTAGACAAATTTATTCTTCTTATATTCTGTGCTATCCAGTCCTTCAAAAAAAAAAAAAAAAAAAAGAAAAATGTTAAAAACATCCTCTGGACTTACTTTCCTAGTTTGCAGACGTTTAGATCTTCCCATCCAGGAAGCTATTTCAATTTAAAAGGTCAGGAATATCGTTGAGTTCGAGGTTTTATACAGTAGCCTATCAAAACCTTGTTCTGTTTTGAAAACATGCAAATTGAAATGGATGAAGGGGTCCACCCCTTTGAAATGGGGGTCGTTTGGCTTCTTTTTTTAGCCTGCAATGCCCCATACCCATCTTAGATGGTACATCATGCATTCTTTTTGTCTCTCCATCTAACATATCCAAATTATTCTTGCTCAAACAGGACTTACTTTTTATAGTGGCCCCCTGATGCTAATCTTAATCATCCAGAAATTCCAAATCAAACAAGAATTTAGACAAACATTTGACAACATTGGCAGTTCTAAGAACATTGGCAGGAACCAATGTGCAATGAGGGGTTGCCAAAAACTTAGGCCTATGTTGATCATGACCAGTATTTTCATCAACAATGACAATGACAATTTTTTAGTTGACACTCCTTTTTTCATGACGATAACAAAAACTGACAAGCTAAATGTGGATCTTTGTTAATAAAAACTTGAGAGTTAAAGCTGCAGTCTGTAAGTTTTTAAAAATCACTTTTTTGTCATATTGGCTAAAACTGTCCCTATGCCCAGACAGCAGTACATGTGATATGTAACCTGTGAAAAAAAGTGCTTCAATTGGTCCCGCATACTGCCTGTATTTCAATCTGGAAAGAATAATTCAGGACGAGTCAAAACAGCCAATTACAGCCAGAGGAGCGTCTGATGGAGTGTCAATCACAGCTCACACACGCTGAATCCCGCCCCCTCTCACCGCTTAACCTGCCGCTGCCGCAGTCAGGAGGACGCACGTGGATGCCATGGCGGAGCGACAGCCACCAGCAAAAGAGAAACTGCCCTTACTGCCCCTGCTGACAACTGCTTACACAGCAAACTTCAGTATAACCAGCATCTTATATCTAGCTGCTTGGAGGTGAGTGTTATCGCTCTTACCGGTTCACAATCCATGCCGAGTACGCTGCTTGGACGCTTCTGGTCGCATGCGGTAGCCGCGCAGATGCTGTGAGAGGGGTGGAGCTTGGAGGTGGGGCATGAGTGAAGCAGAGAGGGTGGGGGAGTGGCGTGAAACCTGTTTTTCTTCAAATTTTCAGTCGAAGTCTGCTCTCTTCTCAATGTTACAGACTGCAGCTTTAAGGGCTTGAATTTTACGAAAACATTTTTAGTGAGTGGTCTGTCAGACATTTAAAATGCATCATTGTGCTGCAATCTGCTGAGGAGTATCAGCCATGCTGTTGCATCTTGTTTAATCACGCAGCCCACCTGCCATACAGCGGTGCTCATTCTGTACGACCACAGATGGATCATGGCAGCATCTGCGGGCTGAAATTAATCCAGAATGATCCTGTACTGCACGCTCAAATCTGACGAACTGATCTTTCTGCTAATGCCGTAACGATACCACAATAGGCCCGTAAGCAACATTATCTGGGTGGGCCCCATATGAAGTACAACACTCCAATCCGCCCCAATCCCATCCCCACCCCCCGCCGCCGCTGCCATGTGCCCAATACATACACACTTCATCATTTCATCATTCTTCAACTTCACTAGACATGGATATACTTTAGTATATTCTGCTGTAAAATGAGTCTTATTGGGCTACCTTGGGTCTCACAGCCCCCCTTCTCACCCACGCTTTCTCCGTTCATCTTCTGGTCACAATCTTCATTCACTGTAGCAGCAACGTCCTCCTCTCCCTCCTTGGTTCTTTGAAAGAACGTGTTTATTTTGTGAAGTTTTGTCCATTCTTCCAGCAGCTCTTCTCTCCTTTTTGTTTTCTAGGAATCCTAGGATGTGCCTCTTTATGGTATCCATCGTCGCTAACATATTGTACGTAATGGTTATGGTTTTATCTACGCTCTGGGTTACCCATAATTCCACATCGTATTGTAAAAAATAAAATACTCAAATACATCTTTCTTTTAAGATCTTTATTGTGGTTTGAAACATTATATGAGGGTATTTTTTACCAACTGTCTAATGAACTATACACAGTTATTAACATAGTAATTAAAAGTACCACTGTCTGCTTTGCTATTGGTGTCGTGTTTAAACAGCTCACCATCATGTTGAAATCTGCCATTTGTTGGGGTATAAATAAGGTCTGGTCAGTCAACCTAGTACCAGGTAGGATTAAGAGGAATATTTTGCACCATCACATCTGCAAAGAGACTTTCTAGTCCACAATTGCATAGGGGGCAAACGAGGTGTCAGTGACAGGGCCCCTAAGAGGTCGGGGGTCCCTAAGCAACTGCATACTCTGCTTACCCTTAGTTACCCCATTGCTTCCAGCAGTGCTTGTGCAGAAATGCGTCTTTGCATATGTGTTGCTCAGAGTCTATGCTTCTCTACCTCTACACTGATTGTTTGCTCTCAGCAGTATGGCTCTCTCTGCTCTTACTACTTAATAAACTATATGGCTGGTCATCCTCTGTAAAGTGTAAAAAATTCCTTTGTCTAATTATCAAGATTTTATTTCTTCCAACTCACAAGAGGTGATGCTAAACAAACAAATCCATAAATAATAACCAAAGCAAATATTTCATTGCATACTGTTTTTTTTTTTTGGATAAAGCCAGGTGAAAAGGTACATAGATTATTAAATATTTCTCTCTCATAGTTCTCGTTTCTATCTATTTAAATGTGATATAAATGTTTCCTTGTATTGTCATTAAAATATTTTCTCTGTTTCCTTTAAATATTTCAATATTTTAGTTAGCATATCCATTCAATTCTGGATCTGGATTGCCATGGCATTACAAGGCAATTCTGTAGTTTCTCTCTGTATTTTTTTATATCAAAACCCTGGGAATTTAAATCTACTTTGACCCCTGAGCAGCAGTGACCAAAGGGTAAATTGAAGAAATAAAGCCAAGGAGAAAAAAGTTTAAGTGACCACGATCATCTGACAGAAGATGATTATCTGAGTTGGTCACTTACCTGGTTTAACAGTCCAGTGCAAGTGTCTCCAGTGCTGCAGTCCCAGAGGTCCTGCAGGAAGCCAATCCTGGTCAGGGATCCAGAACAGACAGGAACAGACAGAACAGGCAGGATCCAGGCCTCATAGAGCTCCCAGGCAGGTTCAGAGTCCAGCAGAGTCCGAAGCGTGACCAGGCGGTCACGCACAGAAACGGACAGGATTAGGTGCAGACGGGGAGGCTCAGTGGAAGAGGGTAGCCGAGACAGGATGTGGAACCAGAACTGAATGCAGGACCTTTAAACTGGTCTCGATTATTAAAGAAAACACTAAACACAGAGTTTCTTTGGGGGACACATAAGGCACATTGCAACAGAGAGTGAGAATTAAAGGGAGTATGAGAAGAGCGACAGCACTAAAAGGCTTACTTTGTGAGATTTGAATGATCCAGTACGGAGAATTTACTTTAAAAATAATCTAGAAATAACAGTCAGCTTAATCTTCAGCTGTACTAAGACAGGATCAAAGTTTT